GATGTTGTTTCTTTCCAAATGTATACCTTGTAAAATAACAAAAAAAAAAAAAAAGTTATTTAAAAAATTAAAAAAAAAAAAAAAAAAACAAATTGCTTTTAAAAAGATATACAATATTATATAATTAAAACCAATTCAAAAAATCTATTATGAAATCAGCAATCGAGTTTTTTAGTCAATTGGAAAAAAAAAGAAAAGAAAAAGAAAAACCATATACTGCGTTTGATTTTTTCTTTTCAAAAAAATTTTCTTGCTATAGATTCAATGAATGAGAAATTTCTAAAGGAAAAACATATTCAAGAAATATGTATGACAATTTGCTATTCAAAAGTATGATACTTGTAATGAGCAATAAAATGTATTACTCAAAAATGAGAGATACTTTTTTTGAAGAGAGTACCTTTTATATAACAAAATCCATCATATTTACTTTCTTTGCAGTGTATCAGTTATCTAAAGAAAATCAAAAAAAAAATATTGCAATTTCCTGATGACGAATTTAATGGTTAGAATTTTATCATTTAACCTAATCTTTAAATATCGTGAACTTGAATATTGGAAAGTCATAACGGAACATCGGAAATTTCTAATCATGTCATGATAGTCGATCATATCACGATACCGTACATTAGAGCGATTATAAAGCTAATAAAGAGACAACCTTTTTGGAAAAATGCAGGTGAATTGATAATTATATACATTGTATACTATTTAGCATATGACAAACATTTAGGTTCACCGTTATCATTACGAAATACAGTACTGCAAGTCTAGTGTTTGTTTATTTTTATCGTACTTTAAAAAAAAAAAAATGGGTTTTTTCTTAGGCTAAACCTGTGGTATAATACTACAGTATAATAATAGAGAGGTCGTCCCGAATGATGATTAAAAAACTTTTTGTTTTTATGGCAAATAAACAATTAATAAAAGTGTGCATAAGTGTTGTCTAACCGTAGAAAACTCACCAATTTTATTCTAGTTCAGGAAATCGCTTTAACACCTTAAACCTCTTTTGACCTTGCTTTATATATCATAGTATAATTTTATTTTTAGGTTAAAGCTCCAAATATGTTTTGTGGCTTGTTATTAATAAATCCGAAATTACAAATCACCGCATCTATAAATCAAACCATTTATTATTAATCATAGTGAGCACATTAATTTGACTAGTTGGGGTGAAAACAACGAAAGAGACTAAGAAAGAAATTCAAAAATTTGGAGAAAAGAGAGATATTTATATGTATGATAAATGAATCACGCGTCAAAAAACCATTGCCATTTCGGGGAAGAATTATCATGTGTATTATCATGTTAACGTAGTATCCATTCATTAATTTAATGTCTTCCGAGAGGAATAACACTCGGTCATCCTTACGAGTGCCTACTTCATCACGCCAACTTTATGGTACAAAAGTGGAATCAAATTTTTATTTTTCTGAAAAATAATAAAAATAAAAAATAAGAACGTGATATAATACATAAGTCTTTTTTGGTGAAAGAGTTTTTTTTTTTTTCGGTTGTTATTCACGTGTTATGAAGTTAAATTTGAGTTTTAAGAGAAGTTGACGAATAAGTGTAAAAAGGAAAGAGGAAATATCGAATTCTTTCAAACCGAAAAACATTTTTTTTTTTTTTTTAAATAAAGGATGGAGCGGCAAAAGAAAGCTCCTTTTTTTTTTTTTTTTTAAAGGGATCATAATTTAATGTTTGAGAAAAAAAAAAAAAAAACAATAATAAACCCGTATTTTTAGAGATGCGTATTTTTTTTTTTTCTTTTAAAAAAAAAAAAACTACGTAAGAATAATCATAATAGTCGTCGCGCATTATGTATTTAATGTACCGGGGTGGAAGGCACAGACCGAAAGTACTAAAAAAAGAGGGCATATATATATAAAGGAATAAGGAGGCATAAATGAGCTAGTTACATGTGCACTATTTTGAGGCATCGTTTTTAGAAAAAAAAAAGTATATAAACGAAAAACGAAGACGGCATAAAAATATGTGTAATTTACATATTACATGTGCACGGGGAATAAAAAAAAAATACGAATTACTGTATATATAATCTTTAAAATCTTTAAAGTCAAAAAAAAAAAAAAAAAGTGCGAACGTGTGTTTTATATAAAGGTTAAGGAATAGTGACGAGAAGGTCTTTCGTTCAACGAATTACATACAACATATACAATTGTGAAAAGAAATAGCATTAATAATTTTATGACTTAAGTGCGTTTTTTTTTTTTTTTTTGAAAGTAGTAAATGCGCACGAAACATGAATAAGAAAAAAGGTAATTTTAGAAAAGAAAAAAGATATTAGAAACATTGTTTATTAAAATAAATGTGTCAAATAATGAAAGTTTTTTTTTTTTTTTTCTTCGGAAAAAAAGTCGTGATTGAAATTCACTTTGTGTGAATTTTCTGGTGGCGCCGGAGATTGCTCACCACTGAGAAATGACGGCCACAACCCTCGACAGGACATTTGAAAGCTGCATACATTGATTTGAGAAATTTTCATTTGTGATCGAGCGATCATTAGTAATTTTTCGAGAATGAAATTATCAAATGTAATAAAACAAACATACGTTTTTCTCCTGTATGACTGTAGGTGTGAGTCTGCAAGGAACTCGGGCGGGTAAATCTTTTCTGACAGATATTACATTTGTATCTTTTGGGGGTGGAAGAGACCGTCTTTGAGCTAAATGTGGTCATCATGGTCTGTGGTGCAGGGACTGAAGGCCTATTCTGAGTGAACTGTGTGGTACTTCGTGCCCCGTTGCCACCCTGGTTCTGCATCGCGGCTATGGGCATTGGGTAATCCTGGGGTGTCGGCATGGCGTTACCGAAATTTACAGAATGCGGAATTCCATTACGATCATAACCAACTGATCCAGGATTAAAATAGCCCATCGGTGGAGCAGTGTTTGAACCAGTGGGTATTTTCATAGATGGTTCGGAGAAAAAAGAAGGATCTAGCGCCCGTTCATCAAAGCCTTTTGCTGGTTTCGTTGCATATTGTCCAAAAGAATATGATGTACTTGCCGTTTCTGGAAGGCGAGTCCAGTTTTCCGACGTTCCTTCTGAGGTTCCAGGCTCAATTTTGGCAGCTGGATGATGAATTGGAATCATCGTTCGGCGATCCATCGAGGGTTGGTATTGGTGGGCGGCAGGGTAACTGAAATCAGAATGAGAAAGGTGAGACTAGATTACAAGTGACCGTCTACGTCAAGTGAACGGAGCGGGTGAGACAATAGAAGAAAAGAAAAGAAAGAGAGGAGATCAAATAACCTTGAGGCCGTTTGATAACCTTCTGATGTTATGGTGGGGATTGTTTGCGGTGGTGGTGGTTTTTGATCAGCGTTGAATGAAGGTTGAGAGGTATTGAGCTGAGAATTATCGGTGATTATAGGTCCGCTGTGATAATTTTGGTTGTTACCGGTGTTTCCGTGATGGTGGTGATCACCGGAGTCATTCGTATTCATTCTTGATGAAGGAAGCGCGGTGGAAGCGTCCAAGGGCGGCGAAGGATAAGCGGTGGGATTATATAAAAACGCGTGTTGGATTGCCGACGGTGGTTGGGTTGAACAATTATCGGTACTGCTATTATATAAATAAGCTAATTGGGCCACGGCTTGTTGCTGTTGTGGAGGTAAAAG